GGTTCACACATAGTTTGAATATAGTTCAGTCATAGTTCAATAATATTCAAGCAATGTTTCAAATAATGCTTAAGCAATATTCGAAGAAGGTTCAAGTATGATTGGAATGTAGTTCAAACAAAATTTGAGTTTAAGGACATATGATTGGAATAAAGATTTATCAATCTTCAAATAGTATTAGAGCATTACTCATGCAATGTTCAATAAAGTTCGAGCATGATTTGAATATTGTTTGATTTGATCATGATTCGAACATAATGCGTGTCATTTTATTTGTTCCTCATCATATTTTGCAAATTAACTAATTTGAAATATTTGCTATATATGTAGATGTCCATTTTAAATAAATTTAAGAAGAGGCATCACACTGATAGTCACCAATAGATCTAAGGGTTTGCTGGAAGATATTACTAGATAATTTAAGGCTAATGATCTTATTAGAAAAACTAAGAGATCTCCCTTAAGCCAATTCTTTAAAACTCCTAAACACTCTGAGGAGGGGTCCTAATTCATTAAATGTCGGATAGTTGATGACAATGAAAATGAGGGATACATTATTATGTTGAATTGTGGAGATAAAAACACAACATTTGATGTAATTGAATTTGCTCTCAGCATTGGGTTAGAGTTTGGATAGTTTTCATCTAGGAGAAAATTCAAGCAAATGATCACAAAGAATTGGTTAATAAATAACTACTTGGATAGAGATAATACATTCAAAAATACAAAAATGAAGAAAATATTTATAATGCATTGAGAGAGATGATGTGACAGAACTAAATTTGTATTATCTTGTAGTTGGTGTCCTCTTTAACTATGATAAACACGGTGCCGCTTTTATTGAAATGCTTGGCTAATTAAAGATGAATAAGCCTTCTTTAAATACCCATAAAGTAATTTATCTAGGAGAAGATACTGAGAGGGCTGAAGAAGGGTACAATACACTATACGGCTATTGCTATGAAAAAAAGATCCCAATTCAATGCAGTGTAATTGAGTACACTATATTATTATAATATTAGGCTTTAGAAGCCAACTTAGATCATAAAAGAAAATGTGTTGAATTTTTATTAGAGCATAAAAAATGTTGAGTTTGAAGAGCATTCAAATGCTCACTGTCAAAAATCTATTGTTATTGCCGATAAATGAAGATGCAAAAGTTATGCAAAATATTATTTCAATTGTTAGTTTTTGTGGTGAATACTTATTTTTATTGGTAATAACTCACGTGCCTTTTAAAAATTATTCTTTATAGGCAATTACTTATCTTATATTGGTGCATGAGCTGATGAGAATGATTTTTATAAGTCAATTGAACATAATCCTACTCAGACTATCCTAGTTAAAGTTTTTAAAGAAGTAAGCATCATTATTTTTTAGAAGCAATCGAGGGAGTAGAAGATAAATTAGCTATAAGTCAGTCCATACACTCCTATTAAGGGTTACCGGCCTTTGTTAATATATGGGAGTTAACAAGTAATCAACTTAGAATAGAGAATAATCAAATAAGGTATGAGAAAAACTTGGATACACTGACAATCTTGTTTAAGGCTTTGTACTTAGGAAAGAGAAGAAGAAGTAGGGGGAATAGCAAAGAGATTTATTCTTGACTTAATCATTCATTTTATTGGACTGGAGATGAGATAGAAACTAGCCCAATGATGTTAAAACAACATTCAAACTATATTCAAACCAATTTCCGTCACTTCGAAAGAGATTTATTCTTGACTTAATCATTCATTCTATTGGACTGGAGATGAGAATAGAAACTAGCCCAATGATGTTAAAACAATATTCAAACTATATTCAAACCAATTTCCGTCACTTCGGGCATCAAACAAGTAATCAGTGGTAAAAAGGAGGGTAATTTAATCGCAAACAAAATGTTTTAACATATTTCTCCAAAAAATAAAACAAAAAACAAACATATCTGGCCATTTGTAACTAATATGAGGTATATAAAGTCAAATTTCTTTTAGTTATCCAAACAAGCAAACAAAGAAAAAACATCACAAATGCTCATTTGAAAACACTTTTTCCAAATTTAACAAAACTTCTTCAGTTATATGTTGAGTGATGTTTTTTTAACTTATTATTTGTTGCCTTAAAAACAGAATGAGCAAAGTAGAACTCATACTTATCTTGCCAAACCCTAATGAACGACCTAAACCTTGCTAAAAGCTTTAAAAAAAAAAATCAAAGTGCAGTGGAAAGGCAAAACAAACAGAAAATCGAATTGATCTACTAACCGATGCAAAGCTGTGGCCTGGAAGAAGACCGTTGATCTCGGTTAGCAGGGAGCCTAGAACTATCGGTTGCCTATTTACAAGGAAACCACATATATCGGCGACAGTCTCAAGCGCCGAGTGTTGATCCTCGACGGTGACGGATGGAAGCACAGGGGCTTCCCCCCAGCCGTTGCCACCGCCTCGTAGCTCCACGCGTACCGCTACGTTCCCTACAGTATCGAGGCTGGAGGACGCAATAGTGAACGGTGCGATCAACGGTACATTAAGGGGCCGCCCATCAGCCCGGCAAACATCCACGGAGAACGTCGCCTTGAGGTCATCGAATCCGCCAGCACTCATTGTATCAGCCAGAGTACTGCCGGCGTTGAATCTGAGGCTGCAGCGGCGGGAAAGGATTGGGTTTTTGAGTAGGGAAGGAGAGAGAAAGGAGCGGTGAGAGGGAGAAACAAGCCGATTCATGGAGGGAACGACTAGAATGGGAAGTTCGTTGGCTCCATCAGAGGACGGAAGAGTAAAGGCCGCAGGGAAAATGGACGTGAGATGGGAGCAGGAAGTAGGGCTGTCATTAACCCGAGTAAAATCTAGCATGCCAGTCATAAGTTAATGTTCAGTAGGAGTCTGAGGCAACCTTCATAAATAGATTTATATTTGACTTACAATTTTTAATGTTAATATTGTTTTATATTTTTCATATTTATATTTATTAGAAATCAAAATATTAAAATAAAATGTTTGTTCCTTATATAAAATTATTAATTAATAACCGTATGATTCTAAATAAATAAGCAATTGAATAGATTTTAGATTAACATCTAGCTAGTGAATATTAAGCAAATAAAATAATATATAAATGATAAGTTTTTTTTTTTTTACAATTGATGTCTGCTAGAGAATTCGTAGCAATAGAGTGAACGGTTATCGTCTTATCATTGCACAAAAATCTGGTACACACTCAGGTAATAAAAGTGACGGATTGAAATACCTCAAGTTTTTTTTATATTTAGAAAGCCCAAAAAAAGGGAAAAATCAGAGCCCCGTAGTCATCCTCCTGCTTCCTCCATCTCTAGATCATCCATCTCCTAATCATCCATAGTATAGAAATCGAACAGTTGTGGTGGAGGCGGTGCCTCTCCTATGCGCAAGGCCTCCAAGTTCTGGTGGATGTGACCATACTGATACTGGTGCTAAGTGGCATAGAACTATGTTTGCCTGTAGATCTCATATATCTCTCACTTCATGACTGCCTGAGTGGTAGAAAACTGATCAAAGCTTCAGGTGATCTCATCAATTGTTGGCTCAAAAGGAAGGGAGACGTGGTGGGAGGAACTCTCACCTCTCTCATGTGTGGTGGTAGAAGAGTGTTTATAAGCCTAGTAGCGGCATGGGAATAGGCCTTTGTGGACGAAGCCGCTCCTCATTCTTATCTCTCTCGACACCAGCCTAGTCACATAGGGTCGTAATAGGACTAGGATGCCATAAACCCATGGTAGTCTGGCAGCTAGCAATTTATAGTATTGAGTGATGGATGACTACCTCGTTATCTATATACTTTTCCTGTTGGATACAATAATTGATGATAGTTTTATCCCTCATGATATCGGTGAGACTGGTAGTGGGTAGGAAACTAGTCACTATAAAGTTGGTGATTACACTTACAAACTTTTATCTCATATGCGAGAAAGGGTTACATACTTTCTCGACTTACAATAATTCATCCACAAAAGAGCTCGTTGCCTCATAGTATGAAGAGGGTCACAGTGGGAAGTAATTGTTGGAGTTTCACTATAATGTTTTCGAAGTTAGTGTAATAATCAGGATGATTCACTACTCTATGGTATGTTTTGTGACTTCGTGGTGTTGGTTGTTTCTTTGAATGGTACTTCTTTTCTCTGCAACATAAGTCTTCACTCCACGCCGAGCTTCGTTATAGTGTGTAGAGAGCAGCAGATGGTGGTCAAAGGTGGCTGGCAGGTGGTGGACAAAGGTGGTCGACAGGTGGTGATTCTAAGGTGGCCGACAGGTGGTGGTCAAAGGTGGTCGACAGGTGGTGGTGACGATGATTGTTGGTTGTAGAAGTGTGAGGTATTCGCCAGATCTTTGGTGCAGAAGCAATGCTAGACTTCATATACTTTTCAAAGCATCGGTCTTCTTCTGGCTCATGGTTTTGGTTCCCTCTAAAAATGCGGGTAGGGCTCTATTTACAGAGTCTGGGATAGGCCTTTTTGTAAATAAGGAAGGATTTCAGACCACTCCATCAAAAGCCCAGAGAGATTCCCTCAATACAATGACGTTTGGTGAACATTTGAGTGCATTAATAATATTAGAATTGAGCGATCTTGTGCTCGTTAGATTCGTTTTGCAGAGATGATCGATTCAACTATAAGTTTATCATATTTGAAATCCATATGAATTTTCAATTATGCAATGAAATCTTTCTAAAATACTTTAACGACATGATCTGGGCTTTATTTGACTCAGATTGGATCAATTTTGGTACAATTGGCTCTGTCTCATTGAGCTGGACATTTTGACTTCAAGATTACTGAAGTCAAAGTTCTAACGACTTCTAATCAAAGTTTGAAATTTTCTTGGTTGAAAAGTTGCCTCGAGATTCATATCACCCTCATTCCAAATAATAAATTTTTTATCTAAGTACCACTTACTTCTCTATTTTCAGGCGAGATCAACTTTATCATCAAAAAATACCAAAAATTTAGATTTGCATATACATATATTTGTATATATATAAATTGTTGTGTAAATTTATGTAAGAAAAGTTGTTTAGTCCAGTTGGCAGTTGGCTTGTTTCATTTGAATTCCTTGGCCTTCAAAAAAATTGAATCATTTTTTTTACACTGGAGGTGACAATTGGAGGCTTCCGGAGAAGGGAGTGTTGGCGGTGACTGGAGGTAGGGGCTATTTGCCGAAGATGACAGTCGGTTGCCAGAGGAGGCTAGTGTTATGGAGGTTGGCTGTTAGATTTTTTATGCGGTGGTGGCTTGAGTTGTCAAGGGATGACGGTGGCCAAAGGTCGATTCCGGTGATGGGGGCAACTAGTGACCAGAGGCAGGGTGAGTGGATGTGGGAGGCGGCTGGTGGTAGTGGGAGGTTATGGTCGGAGTGCTAGAGGTTGATGGGCGGATATGGTCAGTATTAATTGTCTGAGTTGGTCTGATGTGGTTAGGGGCACTTGTCAAAGTTAGTCGGAGATGGTGTAAGCTAGAGTTGATCGATGATGGTGGCTAGTGGTGGCTATCTGTGGTGGGTGGCGGTAGTCATTTGTGGTAGCTAATGATAGTGATCAGCAGATATGGATGGTAGGTTGTCATGTCAGCAATCCAGGGGATGTGGATTCAAATGGGGTGAGGTAGGAGCAATCTGGTGGAAGTTGGAGGGTCGCGTCAGTGATTCATCGATGTGGACAACAAATTTATACATCAGCAATATGAGGGATGCAAAATCGTAACAATGGAAGGCAATAGTAGTCTAATGGATGGAATATGGCCACGCCAGCGATTCATGCACCAAACCAATATTGAATATTTTTTATGTACCTTATTTTGGCTCATTTTGAGCCTATAACTAACCAAAAATATCAGGAAGGAGGTGGAGTCGCCCAGACTACTTATGCGACCTACAGGGCTCCCATAACAGAGAAAGCGGAGTCGCCAGGCTTCAACCTGCTAGAAAACGATCAACAGGGCTCCCAGAAGAAAAAGTTGGAGTCCCTAACCTGTTAACATGTGATAAAAAAGAATCTAAAAAGAAAAAAGGTGGATTTCCTAGCCTGGTTGTGCAATCAATGAGGCTATTTGAAGAAGAAATAGAAGGTGGAGTACTTAGTCTACTTGTTAATCAATGGTACTCCTCATTTACGTCATTGTTGCGCTTTCCAGATGAGTTTTTCCGTGCTGATGTCGTACCTTCTAAGAGAAATTTCTCATGTTACTGTGGTGAATTATGGAAAAGAATTTTTGCATTGATGTCACGCTTGTTGGAGGAGCCTTTCTTCAATGTTGTAACTCTTTTCTATATGAGATATTATCATGATTTTTGAAATATATGTTTCACATTGATGCCACACTTTATGGAGGAGATGTTTCATGTTGCTAAGAAGATGATACATGAAGGATCACGTCCCCTAGAAATTTAGCATTAATGCCAAAACTTTGAGAAAACGGTGCCAACACCATTTTAAGAGAAGTTGGTCATTTCTTCAACTGCATGGAAGACTTAGCTTACAAAGATCAAGCATATCATTTTTAAGCACAAGAAGGATACTTCTTGATCAAAACATGGAGACTTTTAGGCTTTTTAAGAAATTTTGTTCGTTTTTAGATAAGAGAACATGAAGGTGCAGACCTATTAATAATAAGGAGGATGTTTTAGTTGATTGATGTATTTATTTCTGATATTCTATTACAAGTTTTATACTTGTGTGTGTTTGTCTTTATAGCCTTTAAGTCGTTTGATGACATTTATACATAGTGATAGTGCTTTTGTATGTACATCTTTCTTTTTCTTAATATTATGGAATTACATTTTTATATACATATATGAGCCTGTTTGGTGTAGTTTTCTTTTATTTTTTTACTTGATGTAAGAAACTTGACCCTTCACAACTTCTCCGCAGAGAAGATAAAAGATGTTGAAACTCTTGAATCAAACATAGTTCAATTTGAGTGTTTCTCCCTTGTAAGAGCCTAGTAACATCGAACATTTTGAGGCTTACATCTCCTCAATATTTTTTGGCTTCAGATATGTAGAAGTTTATAATCAAAATCTGTGAATGCAGTTTGTATAAAGTAGAATCATGTAGATTTTCAGGCTCGTGCCTTCTAAGATTTGTGCATTCTAAGGCCTATAAAGTAGAATCATGTAGATTTTCAGGCTTGTTCCTTCCAAGATTTGTGCATTCTGAGGCCTATAGCCTTCTAAGATTTATAATGTACATGTATCTTCTAAATTTTGTACTCTTCTAAGGCTTTTTGATGTACCTAAATTTTCTAAGCCTTCTAGTCTTTTGAGATTTATGAGTGGAGATCTTGTCAGCCACTTACTCCCTAGGAGTTTCTAGTAAAAACCTTATCCACTACTAGCTTCCCATCAAGACTTGCCTCATAGGCTCATATTTTAGAGGCATGGTTGCTTCCCATTGAGAATTGCCTCATGGACTGGACTTTCATGGGTATAGGTATAGACCTTCTCTACCAAAAACCCTCAAGGGGACTTTCTACTGATGAATGATCCACTACTAGCTTTCCATATAGACTTTTTTTCCAGGGCTTGTATTATTGGGGTATGGGCAGAGACCTTATTTATTATTTTCCCTTAAGGAGAATTTCTAGTGAAGAATGTATCCACTACTAGCTTCACATTGATACTTGTTTTCTTGGTTCATCTTCCAGAGGTATGGATGTAGACATTGTCTGTGACTTTTCCTCAAGGGATTTTTCGACACAAAATCTTTTGTGAGAGAATAAAGGAAACCTTATTCATAAAAAAATTTCCCTAAAAACATTTCTTTAAACAACATAGAAAATCTTCCCAAAAATAAAATTAGGAACTATATTCTATGATAAAAGTAAAAAAGT